AGTAAATTGCGGGAATTGAAATTCTACGCTATTACAAAATATTCGGGAATGGGGGTACAATTTTTACAAATGGGGATGAATCAAATGTGATAGGAAGGTCCAAATAACAAGCAATAGAACCAAATCGAATTTTGTGCGATTTAATTAAAGCTATGATAATCCATGAAAATAAAATTCAACAAAATATGAAAATGAAATGTTAAATATTTACTTGAAAAGAGAAAAGTAAAACTTATTCTAAAAATAAAATAATTGATTAAATTATATTCTTTATTTTTTGTATTTTTATTAATTTAAGTAAAATCTAAAGAAAGAAAACAAACTAAATTATTTTGTTTTAGTGTTTTATTATGTCAATTAAATCTAAAACAAAAATTTATTAAAAAAAAAGAAAATGGTGAAAATTATTTACAAAACTTAAATCAAATTAATAAAAAATATATATTTTATGTCTTATTAGCAATTTTCATAACAAAAAAAAGAATATAAAAAGAAAACAAATTTAAAAAATGCAATGGGCTTAGGGTGATTTGAGAAGAGGCCCAAAGAAGTTAAATGTTATTCTTGCTGTAACAAAGAACAAACCAAAGGGGGGGGGGGGGGGGTATGACCAGTAAAACGCATGGGCTTTAAGATCAAACAAAAAGAACCAATCCCAGGCTTCTAAACCCAGCTTAGTTATTGATTAAGGGATCAAAACCAGATTAGGGTTCTTGGAACTCTCCTCACGTGGCGCCGCTGCTCATCTCTTTCTTTCATCTCTGCATCATCTTACTGAATCCTCTAAATGTTCCCACTACTCGTCCCTGTTTCATTTCGCAAACATAATGGCTCTCTCCATGCTAATCCCTTATCTCATCGTGATCCGCATCTCTTTGAAACCCTAGTTTCGAATCTAAACCTAAAAGAAACGAAATTAGTTCATCCTTGACCTCCTCCTAACTCTTTGTTGCCGGAACACCAAACCTCTCGCCTCCCTAATCGAGTTCTAACGACTTTCTTTGAAAACGGGTAAGGTTACAAATTTCGTTGATGTTTTTATCTTGTCATGTTTTCTGTTAATTAATCTTTGCCCTTCTTAGATGCAGGAAATGCGCTTATAGAAATATGGAAAAGAGGGGGAAACCATACCTGTTGAAGTTTTACAACTTTCCTGTGATTTCCTGTGAAATAGAGAGGGAGAGGCGAGAGCAAGGATGGTGTTCCAATGGTGGCGGAAGTTGCACGAGGGGAAGAGATGAGGATGAGCGTGTTGCTTTTCTGACTCGTTGGTAATCTTTTTTGTTTCCTTTGAATGATGGTGATTAATAGTTTTCTGGATTTTTTTGTAGTTTGTTACTGTTTGGGACTTTTTGTTTGATGCTTGGTTTTTAGATGGAGGCTTGGTACTGGTTTTTTGGTTTGGGATCTTGCTACTGTGTTTTATGTTCTTGACGATGGTTAATGGTTTTTGTGGGTTTTGCTGGCTCTGTTACAGGTTTTAGGTTTTGGGGCTTTTCTACTGTATTTTCTATTCTTGATGATGGTTAATGGTTTTTGTTGGTTTTGCTGGCTCTGTTACAGGTTTTAGGTTTATGGTTTGAGATCTTTGTTGCTGGTTTTTGTTTGAATGGTTAACAGTTTTATAAGATTTTGGCTTTTGGGATTTGGATACTGGTTTTTGTTAACTTGGCTTGAGGCTTGTCAACTGTATTTTTGCTTGAGGCTTGTGTGTATTTTTGCTTGAGGCTTGGTTCAGGTTTTGGGGGTTAACAGGTTTTTTTTTTATTTGATGATGGTTGACTGTGTTTTTCAGCTTGAGAGTTGTGTGTTTTTTCTTTCTATTTCCCTCTCTGTTATATTGACCCTGCTTCTGTTATATCCATATTCAAAATTGTGGGAAAGCAACAAATTTGAATATTTTAGTATATTGTCCTCATGGCTTTTTTGTTGCAGTTTTGTTTTCTTCAATTTTCTATGCAATTTGTGACAGACTGTGGGCAGGGCAGCAAGGCTGTGCATTTTAGGCAATTCCAATGACCTAGGTGACTTCTTTCCTCTCTTCTCTCTCAATGACAATAAGAAAGCAAATTGCTCTTTTGCCTTTTTTTTCTAATTCTGAAAGGTTTGCATGGAAAATGATGATATATTGCTTCTTGAGCAAGTTTTGCTATTTTGTTTCACTTAGCTATTTGTTTATTTGCTATATTACTGCCTCGTTTTTTGTTGATGCTGTTGGTTTGGCCTGTTGTAATGTTGTTGTTTGTGATGTTGTTTGGACATTTTGTGGCATTTTGTTTGGTTCAGTTTGCGCATTTTGTTTGGTTCAGTTTGTAGCATTTTGTTTGGTTCAGTTTGTGGCATTTTGTTTGGACAATTTGTAGCATTTTGTTTGGACAGCTTGTAGCATTTGTTTGGACAGCTTGTAACATTTCTTTCTTTCTTTCTTTTTGTGAACCAAGAAGGATAACTTTCTTGTGATTTGCAAATAGAGGAAATAAATTGTGATGAATTAAACAGCACTCTGATTCCACATTGCAAACCTTAATGATGAATGCCTTTTTTTGGAAAAATTTATGTTCATGCCCAAATAATTTGCACTAACTATGTTTGGTTCTTTTGTTTTCATGTGAGCACAATGGATATGACAAAGCAAGGAACGCGGGAAATCTGTGGCAAGCATGGAAGTCTTGGAGATAAACAAAAGAATTTGATACGACTTCAACCTTCACACAAACTTAGACATAGATTAGTTCTCCTAGGCCAATCAATCATTTGGATTTCCTTTGTAATTTAGAAAAATCATTCTTGTATTGTATCCAATAATTGTACCAATTCATCTTTAAATACAATAAGTTGTAAAACATAAAGTATTTAAAAGAATAAATTGTTTTGTAACAATGTATGAAATTGGAGAAAATCTTATGAATTGTTCTGGTGTCACTTGAAATCCTTTATCAACAATAACTTGTAATTTCTCTTCGCATCCTAACTGATTTTTGAAATTCCCAATCTAGATATTTGAAACAAAATGCTCCAGTCTGGTAACTTAAATTCCAAGTAATCCCAATAATTCTGTAACTGCATTTCAAATAAACACGGACTGTATATACCATTTCCTAACCAAGCAAATGTTTTAAAGGACGCAAATCATTTGGTCAACCTGGATCCCACAATCATGAGTGTCCTAAATGACAGTATTAACTTCTATCTCTTGTCCCAAATAGATCATGCTCTGAGAACAAACATTATCTTTTCAGTAAACTGCGTTTTAAGAAAATTCAAAATCAATCAAATGCCTTGCGATGATTTGATAATTTTAAAGTTTTCCAAACTCAAATTTCTTCTGATTCTTTGAAGATAAAACCGTGAGCGACATCACTGAAACAACCGGCTGAAAATCATCAAACAATGAAGTCTCCATCGAACGTCTGTTATCCCATAGGAAGGGAAAGGTAAACATCGAGTAAACCTGAGAATGGGAGAAGTCACGGTCTTGCGACCGAGAGATCGGGTAAGGGAGTCTGTTACGCGAGGGGAAGGTATTAGCACCCCACACGCCCGTAGTACTCTACAGTATCCATTCTTGTTATCTATTTTATGGGTGTGTTTAATCTATGCTTACTGTTTATCATTGCTAAGGGGAGAATGCATGTAAAAGAAAGGGGGGAAAATGTAGGGAAAATAAAATTATGCTCATTCGGGCCCTACCCCAATGCCTACGTATCCATTTTGAGGAATCAGAGCAGCCGTAGTTCGGCTTATATGTTTTTGTCGGTTTGTATTTTTTAATGAACAATATTAATTTCGCCTTCTGCCGCAACTCGACCTTCGTAGACTTACGGGTCAGCACAAAAGTGAATTAACATATTTGTTCTAAAAAAGGTTTGGAGAAAATGTGCTTGGGCGCACAAAAAGCTTTGAATTTGTTTGTGTTTTAAATGAACGATATTAATTTCGCCTTCTACCGCAACTCGACCTTTGGAGATTTACGCGTCGGCACAGAAGTGAATTAATATGCTCTTTTGAAAAGTTTGGAAGAAAGGCCCGGAGGCAAAAAGAATTTGTATTGGTTGTATTTTTGCTTGTGGATAATAGCTAATTAATCTCAAGAGAGAGATTTTAGCCATTTCTCTACTTATTCATGAAATGAGTCTTTGAGACTTGAACCACACTAAAGCTTAGAATAAGAGAACAATAAGGTCGAGAAGAGACCCGCTTATCGTCTCACATACTTAACGAAGATATGATTCTCGTCAGTAAATTTTTAGTATTTTGAAGTTTTTGTAAAAAAAAGGAATTTTCGTTTTAATGCATATGCAAAGGAGGAAAGAAAGTCACATGAAGACCAAACTATTTCTAAACCTAATGTTATCATGCGTTGTTAGACCTAAGTAAAGTATGAATGAAAGGGAAATGTCTACCTAATGTTAGCATGTATATGGATTGCGATAAAGTACGAAAATGAAGAATAAAATAGAATTGTGACGATACCGAACGAAAGAGGTTCGTTGCCTTTTCGAAATTGTGCAAGCGATAAGAAAATTCTACCAAAGTTTCTCCGCATGAGTGATCAAATAATTAGTCTTCAAGTATTCCCCATCAAAAAAGTTGCATCATTACTATCACAAAATCTTGACTAAAATGATAATAAAATGATTGTTAAACATAAAACAATTGAAAATTCTAGTAAAATTCTAAAGAAAAGACCTACAAAATTCTAAAATACTCTATTATTTTTGTATCATTTCTATTATCAATTAAGAGAAAAATTAAACTAGAAAAACTTAAAATAAATAAATAAAAAGTTAGAAGAGTCAGGGGGGTGCGAGCCTGAATTCAGGATGCTGGAAATACAAGCCCATCTCAGCATGGGGTCCATTAACCTTTTTTTTTGTTCATATGTTAGAAGCTACAAAAAAAAAACATCCTTTGGTCTGAGGTTCAAGGGTGATTTGGCCCACCCAAAATAATTGGTTAGGGCTGAAGACAAACTTCATTCTTCAGAAGAACAAATCACGATGCTCTCTTTCTCTACTCTCTTTGACGGTGCGGCACACGAGTTTCCATTTCGGCTTTCATCACAACTCGTCACTGTGAACATCCAATGCGCCGATCCTCTTCTCCTGTTGTTCTCCATTAATCCCTTGCTCAGCTCATGGTCTTATGATTCCTTACTTCATCTTCTCCAAATCCAGAAATACGTCGAGAACCTAGAGGCTTCTGAGTACGATTACACTATGACAGGGATGAATCAACACCTAGCGCCTTAGGGCTTTGAATCCACTCAGTGTGTTCTACGATCATGCATCAAGAAGGAGGCGAAACGATGATGATACTGACCTATGGAGCCGAGGTTTGCTCCAGCAACGGTTGCAAGGTGAATCCAAGTAGAAGACATAAAATACTTAAGATGAGATTATCTTCGCTCAGGTAACGTTTTTTCTTCAATTCATCGCTTCTGGTTCCATCATCTTCCCTCTTCTATTTCTCGTCCGCCTCGATTGAATTTATGTGTTTTTGTTCTTGCGGTTTCCATTTTCTTGCAGTGATGTAGAGTAGAAGATGATGATTGAAAATTCAGATAAGTGCTTGATTATGTAGGCGGAGAAGGTACGTTGATGTTGAAGGATAAAGAATCATGATGATGTTCGTGAAGAATTGTGGCTGGAGGCTTCAGAAGTAATGAAAGTGATTGTCAAGCAGTTATGGAGAATTGATGGTTGAAGAAGGGGTGCCGATTGAAAGGGTGAGTTTCTTTTTGTTTTCTTCTGTGACTTTTTTTGTGAATAAACCATTGTGGATCTGAGACTCCCCCCTCCTGCATTCTGATAAATCTTATATATATTTTATGTAGAGTTTGTTAGGAGTTTGTGAACTTTAGAATTCGGTTAGAAAAAAACAATTTGGAGGTTAGGTATTCTGTTGCAGTTTTTTAGAAGCGGTTAGAGTTAGTTAGGAGGTTGTTAGAATCTGCTGGTAACTACCAGTGAAATATTTGATAACAGTTAGTTATACTAGATGGGCTGACCTTAGATTTGAATGAAATTGAAAGTTATTTACTTAATTATTTTGGTTTTTTCTTTTCAAAGCCAATTTTGTTAATTGATACAGGGCTGAACTGGTTGCTTTTGTATTGGATTCAAATTTTTCATTTAACTTACAAAATAAGTTTTCTTTAAAACTAGAAGGATCCCATGTCGGGGGTTTAAAGTCCGTATAAGACTGTTCAGCTTCATTTACTTGGGCATCTTCAGATGCTTGAAAATCTGGAATTTTGCCACATTGGGAATTGATCTTAGAACAAGGTATTCTTCTGTCTTATAACAAGGTATTCCAGCGGCTGCAGCATCCCGGGTGATACCATGAACAGTGTTGTTTTGAACATCGCTTATTCTTCCATCTTCAGTATATTGCCCACCAACATTATCAAAATTGTCATTAGTATGCAACTGTAGACCTCTAGCATTAGATCCTGAACTAACACTAAAACAGCTAGAAACATTGTCACTTCCTCCAAACACAAAACCATTGCTACTATGTACAAATTAATTTGTCGAATCACTAGGAATATGGATGCCCTCGAGATGGTTGATGTTCAGCTTACTAATCTCATCTACCACTTGATTTACAAGAATGTCATTATAAGTAGAAGAAATACCATTAGTATTTCCATTTCCACTCTTAGACTTAACATCATTACCCAGATTACCATGCTTATCAGCATCATTACTAAAGTTACTGTATGTTTCTATCTCAGCATGAAAAATACAGCTTCCATTATCCGAATTTCTCATGCTATCAACAGATTCCTGCTTTTCTACATTAAAACTAGACATTCTAACACCTCTATTCTTGTCCCCAGAAGAAGACTTCACGAATTGATTTTTTTACATCCCCTCTCCCCACCATCGTCGAACTCCGAATTCCCCATAGGTACACTAGGTTTCCCCTTCCCCTTTTCTGATTTTTCTTTCAATTTGCAGTTAGTTGAATGATGTGGACCTATTTTTGGCATGATTGCTTGTATTGACTTGGGTTTTTTTATGTGAATGTGCAGGTTTGGGAATCCAAATTTAATGAATAAATTTGATGTTTGCAGGTATGCCTACAGCAGCTTGTGTACCACAGATGCCAATGGGCTGCACATATTGGTTTGATGGCTCAGCATAATAGCAACGAGTTTATAGCCTTATACATGATATGCTCGAAGCCTTTCGCTAGAATTTGGAGTTTCGCATGAAGTAACTTTTGGATGAAAATGTTCTGTGTAATTTTTTTGTTGTATTTTGCTCAATGATGTAATGTAAGATGGTGTAGTGAGTTGTAATCTGGTATTGAATTTTTGTAATAAAACTTGCAATGTGACTTGAAGGAAGTGAAATTATAATAGACTAGTGCTTTGGAAATGTAATGTTCTCTTTCTCAAACATAGATTTGAATTTTTTTCCCTTCATTTGCTTTAATTTGAATGAATCTTCAAGCATCTAATATTTTCTCCAATTTTCAATCTTGAACCTTGCTTTCATATTGTTGTATTTTATTCGGATTCTTCAATATTTCTTGGATGAGTTTTGTGATACTTGGTATTTTGGAGATGAAATATGGCTTGAATCTTTCTTTCCCTCCAAAAGCTTCTTTTAACCTTTCGAATTTAGCTTGAAATTGCATCCTTTAATATAACACATCATGAGATAAGATACTCTCAGTCAACCAAAGGAACTCAAGTAAGATATTGTCAAAATCTTGGATGCAACTATGATCCAATACACCACGTTCACCTCAAAGCCTCGTGTGAGAACCAAAGAGATAACTTGTATAGCCTAAGCAATGTGACATCTTGATCCTCAAACATCATAGCTAATTTAAAGAATTTATTTGAATCAATGATAAACAAAGATCCAACGATAAAGTGGGCACCATTATATCCACATTTGTTTTCTGTATGAAGTTTCCGATCACCTAGCTTGTGACTTAAGTAATAAGTTCCCTCTTTCAATTTACAAAGAAAGGTCGAAAGAAAACCCTAGCTAGTCATTGACTAAGAACCTTTGACTATTAGCTCTGCCAAATTCATCCGACAAACCCACGCATAGGGAAATAAACCCTAATCAAAGGATGACTTTGAGCACAAGGAGATAATGAATGCTTGATTTAGTAGCCCTTAGATGACCTCGTAGAACACCTTGGAAATGAACGTGAGGATACAGAAAGAAATATAACCAAGATGGCCACGACTTGATTACGATGAAGAGAACGCCTTAAATGAAAACCAAATCAGATTTGAACACCAAGGATTAGAAACCCTACTTCACACTTGCATCGCCTACCCCCTAGAATCTTGCATCTTAAGGAAAAGTTGATAGGAAAAACACCCTTAAATCCTGATATGCAGATCCCTAATTGGTGAAATAGGGAATAGATTATTCCACCGTATCAATGCACAATCAACCTTTAGGAGTTTCAATAATGAATGTACCTTTGGATTCTAAAAGATAATCCTAATAAGATCCCAATGGCATCCATACTCTCGACGAAACTTTTATCCATAAAACAGGAGCAGATGATTCACACAAAGGTATGGAACCAAATACTCGTCACTTAAGAGAAAGCTTCAGATGAAAAATCCAGTCTTGGTAAGGAAACCCAACAAGTGGTGACAGATGGAGGTATTTAATTCTGAAGGAAGGAGACTTCAGATAGCCATAAGTGGCAACCTTAAACCATAATCCTTGGTGAAGAACTTGATTAGGGCACTATTGTCAAAACCTGGCTTCGATCGCATATAGGAAAATAGACTCTGGTAACTTTGTAGCTTGACGAAGACAAAAATTCTCAATGACACAGATTACAACCCTAGTTCTACCACTTACTGCCTGAATAAGAAATTAGCCTTTTTTGGATGCAAATGCCTTAACCGTTGCGAAACCATAATATCGCACAGCCACTGAACTGTGAACCTCAAGCGCTTTATTAAATGCAGTGCATGCTAGATTAGTGACCTAATGGAATATATACAGATGAATGAAAAAGTCTAAGCCAACATAAGAAATTAGGAGGGCAAATTTTGGGGTGCAACAGCTGCCCCTATTTAATCGCCTTAGACCTGAAGGTGAGATTGGTGCCAGCCTTTCGAACCTTCAAGGTAAAAGAAGATTAAATACTAAAAGAACCCAAAAATTTGCACTCTGAAGCCAGTCAGGTATTATTATTTTTGGTTTTTCTGTATTTTATTTTATTTTGCTTTCTAGGTTAAAGGGGTTATCGGGGTTAGATGTATGTTTAACCAGAGTTTGACACACAGAAGAATAACTTGGTTATCAAGGAACATTTGTTGGGGTTTAGTAACGAACACCTGTAGGAAAGATATCAAAAGGTATATGCCTGAAGTCAGTAGTAGACATATGAAAAAAGGTATCAGAGATACATATCCGGGGTTGGTAGCAAATACGCAAGAAAGAGACATCAAAAATACATATTTGTAGTCGGTATCAGATACGTAAGAAAGAGATAGGAAAGATACATATCCGTGGTCAGTATCGGATACGCACAAAAGAGATATCAAAGATACATATCCGTGGTCAGTATCGGATACGCACAAAAGATATAGAAAAGATACATATCCGTGGTCAGTATCGGATATGCAAGAAAGAGACAGACCGAAGAAAGCTCTTACAAAGAAACACCAATCGAAGGCGAACTTACTGAGGGAAGAGACCAAACGAATGAGACTCCTGATAAATGATACCAATCGACAATGGATTTTAACAAATGATACCAGCTGAAGCGGGGTTTTGAAAGATACCTGCCGGAGCGGGATTTTAACAAAGGATACCAGCCGAAGCGGGATTTTGAAAGATAACAGCCGAAGCGGGATTTTGAAAGATACCAGCCGAGGCGGGATTTTGAAAGATACCAGCCGAAGTGGGATTTTGAAAGATACCATCTGAAGCGGGATTTTGAAAGATACCAGCCGAAGCGGGATTTTGAAAGATACCAACCGAAGCGGGATTTTGACAGATATCGGCCGAAGCAGGATTTTGAAACATACCAGCCGAAGCGGGATTTTGAAAGATACCAGCCGAAGTGGGATTTGGAAAGATACCAGCCGAAGCGGGATTTTGACAAAGGGTACCAGCCGAAGCGGGATTTTGAAAGATACCAGTCGAAGCGGGATTTTGAAAGATGCCAGTCGAAGGTGGACTTTAGGATAAAGAAACCAGCCGAAGGGGAATCTTCATACAGGAATACTATGCCGAAGGTAGATTCCTAA